ACAGACAGACAGACAGACAGACAGACAGACAGACAGACAGACAGACAGACAGACAAACAGACAGGAGGAATTGATAGGGTAGTGAAAAACACAAAAAAACATAACGATATTAAAGAAGATAAAAGGGCAAAGTAGATAGTGTTCTCTTAACCCTTACAGTCTCAGCCACGTATATTTCCCTCACAGGGCACAGGCCATCTCAAACTGAGTTGCTTACTTTAACTGCAATCCAGCAAAAATATTTTATGTGTTATATTCTACAACTTCAAAGAAAAGCTTAACAGATTTTTTTAAAATTAATGTCTATAAAATTTGCTGACACAATCAGTACTAATTGTGCCTGAGGAGTCAAGGACTCAAAGAATAACCTGGGCCAGAGAGAAGTGGGGGCTAAAAATAGTGTGGTGTTGTAAGCAGGGGTCTCAACTCAGAATTTTAAAAAAGGGCCATTTTAGACAGACACCCATTATTATTATGATACTGTTCAACACTAGAATGTTGAAATAAAAACCATCAATTTATCAAAGCAATGTTATTTCATACCAATTTGAGAGTTTGGAAGATGACTCCAAGTAAAAGAGTCACTTACCAAATATTTACAACCTTGATTATGTTCAGAAAGCGGTGGCGCATTACTGGGAGGTGCCCCTCCCAGCAACTCTCTTTCTGATTGGCCCGTTGTCGCAGTAGCGGAGTTTAGTGGAGGAAATGGCGGTAGCGAAAATCCACTAAATAGCAGAATACTGAGACCCATGTGTAAGGTTGTTTTTTTTTTGTTTTTGTTTTTTAGTAGAGCAGCAAGAACAACAGACACCATTGCTGCTTCGAAAGACAGATGGAAGTGGAGGTCCATGATCGCCCACGCCAGTCGGCAAGGCACCGGATGATGATGATGAGAGGTTTTACGGTGCTTGCAACTGCATAAGGTCATATGAGTGTCAGAAGATTAGAGGTGTTGCAAGCGAGTAACAAACATAAAAAAGGAGGGTAGATAAGGATGATAGGTGTTTGATAGGAAAGAAGGAGCAAACCACACCAGAGCACCCGCGAACCACCCAAGGAAAAAGTAAATGCAACTCACTCTAGCACGGGCTGCGGTATGGCCAGCTGGTCAAAGGGGAGGTGTCTCTTGAGCTCCACCAGGTAGTTGACGTACATCATCTTAGAGCCCACCTTGACACTGTTCAGGGGTGAGGAGGAGGAGAAACGATCTTACAACAGCACATCGTTGATACTGGCATCTTTCAAAGCCCAGCATAATATTGTCAACAACCTGTCTTTTTTAAAGCTGGGTAATCTAAAGTATTTGTTTTGTTTGTTTTTGTTTGTTTGAGTAAAAAGAAGCACATCGACACAATAATGGTCATTTAGAGTGCAGGGAAAAAGTAAGACAAACAGACAGAAAAAAACAGAGGGAAAGTAAAGAGGTAGGACCTACCAGTGGCTCCCTCCAACCACCCACTGCACATTGTTAATACTGGGGTCACTCAAAGCCCAGCATATTTATTGTCAACAACCTGCCTTTATCAAAGCTGGGTATCGTAAAGTATTTGTTTGCTTGTTTGTTTATTTATTTGAGTAAAGAGAAGCACATCGACTCATAAATGGTCATAAAGTGTTGGGAAAAAGTAAAACAGACGGACAGAAATAACAAGGAAGGTGGAGATGTAGGACCTATCAGTAGCACCCTCCAACTACCCACTATCCTAAACTAAACCATCTGTGATATGTCTATTCTCATGCTCTAAAGACTTTCAATGTCAGCTATCCACAATTTTTCCCAAACTAGTCTTATTGTAATCATCATTATTATCACAAATATTATCATTGTAGTTTCCATAACTAACACCCTTTGTCAAAATCATCAAAACCATAAGTAGTTGTAACAATCATTACTCCCTCTGGAAAGCACTATCACTCACCCCCCAAGGCACCTGTTAGGCTTTTGCAATTTGAAAAAAAACCCAGTCTACATTATATGCATGATACAGAATTTGTTTAAGAATGCATGAAAGATTCATTTAGAATCTGTTATTTATGATTCCTCTCTCTACCACAATACAATAAAAGAAAACAGAAATGAGAAATCCCATGGGAAATTAAAGCTTTCACTTTACTTTACTTTACTTTTCCGATTCAATGGCGGTCTGGGTTCTAGCTTTAACAGGCACTGCATCATCTTGAGCACGTTAGAACACTTACTAACCCATCCCACTAAAAAAAACCCAACTAAATCATTAAATGTATATACCAATAAAAATGTCTCCTTCTCTTATTCCTTCTGCTTTGACAGTGTTCTTAAGACTTTCAGTTGCAACAATGTTACATAATTTATTGACTACGAACCAATTCACTTTTCAGACATGTTTGATTAAAAACAATAAGGATCTAAAGAGCACACAAAACTTTAAGGGCTCACTCTCCAGTACAGCACAAGTTCAAGGGCGCAAAAATACATGAGGAGAGTTTGAGGAGCCTTTACATGTATCTCAGTAGGTCAATTTTCTACATTTATAGAAACGGTCAGGTCATGTGAACTTCATGGGTATCTTTTGTAATATTTTATTGTTGCAGCCATTCTGATATACAGTCAGAATGAAAATGCTATCTCTTCCACCTTCAAGCAACTTAATAAAACCAGAGCGTAATTCCTTTCAGTACATGAATAAACAGAATACAACATCAGCAATTTTTGGACTTGATCTTTAAGCTTCATTATAACTGCACATCTTTAATATAATATCGAAAGAAAAACTTTGCATACCTGATGATGGGACGGAAAATGTTCCACAGGACTTTGATGAAATTAGTTGGATGGACGAGGTACATCATTTTTAGATTTTTCTTGTATCTGAAACATGAAACAACAGACTCCATGACTAAAGACAAGTACTAGAAGCAGAAAAGCAAAGAAGTAAACTCCATGCCGTTTTGTTTGTTTGAGTAAAGTGATACACATTGACACAAACACAGTCATGCTCAGAAAACGTAAGACAGACAATCAGAATTGACAGAGGGGAAAAAAAGAAATAGGACTTACCAGTGGCACCCTCCTGCCACCCATAAATTTCATGCTTGTACATACATGAAATGCTTCAAACATGTATGGCAAAAATCTTTTCAGCAATATAGTAGGACCCTTATATGGAATCTTTAAAAATCGTCTAAAAAACTTGTCAATCAAAAAGTTTTCAGAAAATTCGGATGCCTTAAGTGCAGGTCACTTTCTTGATGTATCAATGTATCTGGAAGGTATGCACTTGCCAAAGTTTCATTTAATAATATTCATAGGAAAGCCACAAAAGACTTGAACTTAAATTAGCAGTTTCGGTATCCGCAACATCCATGGTTCATTTGAGGTTCACCTGCAACTCCACAGTGATCTCTATGATGACCCCATAAATATAAGGGTATTTAAGAGGCCAGATATGTTGAAAGCCTTGAAAACTCCACAAAATTATCAAAGTTCAAGAACCCCCCCACCTGGGAATTCTAACCAGAGCCATCCACTCCATAGCCCAGCATGATACCAGCTCTGACTTAATGGAGCGCCCACGATGATTCCAGGTGTTGCGCATCAAGTAGCTTGAAATAGCGCGGCAATACTTTACTTTTACCGAAAACTTTTAACTCAAATGGACATACCACCTGCAGCATCCACTACTCACTTGCGGTCAATCTCTCGGTAGGCCTGCAACAGCCATGAGAGCTTGGGTTTGTTCCCTCTGTGAAGGCCGTGGTGGAAATACACCAGAACATAGTCCTGCTCCACGTACTTGTCAAGGGTGTGTTTGAGGTACCTGAAAATAAATCAGAAAAAAAATAATCACGTCCTGAAATCAAACTTTCAGCTCATTTTTGTATTTTGGGGTTTGAGTTCAAAACCTTTTGTTTAGTTTTAGTAAGAGTTTTACGGCACTTGCAACAACAAAAAAGGCCATATAAGTGCTAAAAATTAGATGTGTTACAAGAGAGTAACTTGTAACAAACACCAAAAAGAAGGAGGAGAGATCAGGAAGACAGATGCTTGATAGAAAAGAGGGCGCAAACCTCACCAGAGCACCAACCAACCATCCCCTCTCAAGTTTCTTCATTCAAGATTTAAAAAGGCATGCTGCAACGTGCACCCTTTATAAGTATGCATATTTATGTTTCTGATTCGTGTTTGATACTTCAAAATGTGCCACAACATGGTCTTTGATCTATTGATTGGACATATGAGTCCGTAACTTCCTTAACTCTTTTAACCCCATCGGACTCTGAGAGCGTCTGGCGGTAATAACTCTGTTCCCCATCGGACGCTGGCCATCCGATGCTAGTGACACCTGTTTCATTTCATTTAGTGCTAGCTTTTGTTTGTTTTTCAGAGCTGTTCCCGAACCAAGTTTATTAGTAATGACTAAGCCGTTGTTTCCGCCATTTAGAAATTGGGAGGCAAGCTTTTGGGGTTACAATGAGACATAGTGCACCAGGTTTAGGTGACTATAGAAAAAACTCTGGGAAACGGTGGAAAAAACTCAAAGTTTAAAGAGTTTAAGGGATTAACTATGAGAAGCACATTGTGACCCAAAAATAGTTATCACCACTGAGCTTGAGTAAAGAGAAACACGCAGACACAATAACAACCATAATATGCAAAGTAAAAGCAAGAAAGACATACGGAAACAACAAATGGAAACAAAAGAAGTAGAGCCCACCAGTAACATCCTCCATCCACCAGTGGATGAACTTTTCACTCAACAGAAGATAAAGAAAGGACAAGTGAAAGAAGAAGACAACTCCGTCAAAATGGAAGGACTTTAGTTTTAGTAAGAGTTTTAAAGCACTTGCAACACAATAAGGTCATATAAGTGCCCAAGATTTGAGGTGTTACAAGAGAATAACAAACACCAAAAAAAAGGAGGAGAGAGAAACATAATAGTTTTTTCTAGGAAAGAAGGAGCAAACTACACCAGAACACCCGCCAATCACTCACGAAAGGACTTTGTAACAAAAAAAGAGTTGTAGCAAAGAGAAAGCCACAAGGATAACAACCCCATTTTGCCAGAAACAGATCAGGACAATGATAACAGAACAAATTCAGTTCCTGCATGTGTGTAAAGATCCTTTAGACCACCACCATCATCATCTTCTCCAACCCCCTCTCTCCCTAATCCTCCAAAGGGGGGGGGGGGGGGGGGATAAAACACGCCACAGAGAGGATTAGGATTATACTTCCTGCATGTGTGTGGAGAACACTTTGGCCCCCACTACTCCCACCCCCCCCCCCCCCCCACGCCCCCACCCTCCCCCCATAAATCTTGAATAGAAGTTGAGATATTTGTGATTGAAGGAGGTGGGGTCGCCTGGTTTCAGTGATAAAATTAGTGAGAAAATGGCCATCAAAGTTTGGTAACTTTAATAGCTTGAGAGTCCTTGAAAACTGAAAAATTACATATTCTGTGCCTTTAATCAACGTTTTCCAATCAAATACACATGGACATGTGTTATTAAAATATCGACATAAAAGGTGCTGAGCCAAAAAAAATTTCGATGAGAATTGCCAAACTAGCAGAAAAATACCTGTTTCTTCGTTTTAATCATTTTGACAAGCACCTGATTTCACCATGATGCCGAACAAATGTTTTAGGCAGGTGAACATCTTGGACTTGGACAATGTCATTAAAATAAAACGTGGAGGGGGGTTGTTGGTAGTTGGTACAAGTGACTGTCTTGGACAGGTGGCTGTTAGAACAAGTTCAACTGTATTTCCTGGTAGTGTATGAAGAACCTCCTGATCGTCGCCACCCAACACACACACACACACACACAAACACACACACACACACACACACAAAAAAACAACCCAACTAACAAGGGCACTTCACATAAGAGAAAAGAAAGAAAGCCAAAACTGCTTACTGTAATAGTCTCTGATGATCAAACGTTTTGTTTGAGGGCAACTTGCATGCAGATAGGACAATGACCTTCCGACCGTATAAATCGTCACCTGAAATAGAAAACAAAGTGAAAATACAAATTGTGCGTGCTTTGATTTACATGAAAAGATTGTATACAAGATATTTACATCCAGACAACCTTTAATCTCTTGAGCGCATTATTATACTGAACCTAAATTCTTTTTTAAATATCTTTTTAAAAAGGTTTCCAAAACAGATACACAAGTAAATTTTGTTAAATTTTTCTATCTACCAGTCCTTTCTTTTATTTTTTTAAATACACGAGCCATCATTTTCCAAAATGATCTACTTAACCATTCCACAGATTAATCTTTGAAGTTCAATCAATGAACAAGCAAAGTTGATGTTTTCTCAAGGTACAGAAGTATGGCACAGATATGTAGTAGTAGTCCCATCTTTCTGAACCTGTGCATAAACTATTTTGTCATAGTCAAACTTTAAGCAGACAAATGGGACAGACTTAATGTCTTGCTATTCCTTGAATAGCAGCTTTCATATTTTCAAGACATTTCTGTATTTGATTCTTACAAAGACTAAAAGACAAAAAAATCCACATGCACAGGACAAAATATCCATACAAGTATGACCAAGACAAACATACATACATTCACATATTAACATACCCTACACATAGCCACATACATTAAAACATAGTCGTACATTCACATAAATTCATATTTATTAACACACACATTCACATATTAACACACATCCATACGCATAAATATGGGCACTTTGTCAGATCACTCACATACAAACATATTAAAAACTTGCTAATCGCTGTGATTGCTAATCCAGGAGCCCTCAGGTTTATTGCTTTGGCCTAAAGTCATAAAACAATAACTTGCAACAGTGAGCGATATCCTTCCACCATCCCTCTACACAACAGGTAAACAGCTTATTCTGTTAGGTAAAAAGCTAGCAGGCTTAAAAGCAAAAACATAGCCAAAAAAAATAATTTTTTTTTAATTTCATGACTCAGAGTGTATGCAACAAAATACTTACCAGCCACCTCCACTATGCCAAATCGTTCCACGTCGCTGAACTCGTTATGTGGCTCCTCTTCCTATGAAAACAGAGACACAAAAAAAAATTATTTTTTTTTAATTACATTAATTTCAAATGCATTTGTCAACCCCACCCACTGACTTATTCACGAGAGTATTGATCATGGATAATGTTACCTCTGTATGAAATTTCACACTTTATGAGGCACGCAAAAGTTTTTCAAACGCAGAGAATATACTATGATGTACGCAGTTTTACACTTACCTCTAGAGAACTCAGAGAACCTGAGTTCAAGTCTCAATGTTAGAATAGAATAAGAGCCTTTTGTTGTTGTGGTCGAAGTTTATGCCCTACAGGACTCATTGTGGCTAACATCTAAAAAGATAGCTCTTTGTGTCCCATCATGACACCAGACTGAGGAAATTCAGGCCAACCAGCTCTACTCTAAGGTATCGTTTTAGTTTTAGTAGAGGTATTAAGGCGCTCACAACTAAATAAGGTCATGTGAGCGCCAGAAGATTAGAGGTGTTACAAGAGAGTAACAAACATAAAAAAGGAGGCGAGATAAGGACGATAAATGTTTGATAGGAAAGAAGAAGCAAACCACACCAAAGCACTCGCCAACCACCCACTAAGGTATCGAATAA